AATTTGGGATATTCTTAAGATAACCCATATTAGCCCGTGGGAAATACAGGATTCATACGACAATATAATACTAAGAATTTTATTTCTGATTTAAAATTTTATGATTATCCTAAAAATCTAGAGCCCTTAGGCATATTAGTAATAGTTAATATGTCCCAAATTTCTCTCCGGTTTACTTTCATCCTGTTTTTTTGTTCTATAATTTGAATTAATTAAGTCTTCTGGTAGCTACCATGATACCGCAAAGCATCATGGTCTGCAAAGAGTCCCTAATCCATAAAACATTCCATTTATATTTGGTAACCACAAAAAAAAAGAATCTGTTGACCATGCACTTTGAAATTGTAAACATAAAATGAATAGGGGTTTAAACAATCTTACAAGAATTGCCACAAACAACTTAAAACCTTTACAAGTAATATTATAAATTTTAAAATTAGTTTCTGGCAACAAAGTTAAATATGCTGGCTTGTAAATAGGATATAAAATGTTTCAAACATAGTTTCAAGGGTTGAATTATATTTAGTAGATATTTTAAGTCATCATGGCCTAGCGCATTCTAAATTAATAAACTGTTTTGTCTAAATCTCTTATTTCAGAAGATCCCTATAACTCTCTTAAAAACTCTGGTATGCGTTTGATGAATAAAATGAATAAATAAGCGTTAAATATTGGCATTTCAACATTTATGACTTACTCAACTTACAAGTCTAAGTTTTTCATGTTTCATTGATAAAGCTAATTATAAAAATGAGGTTGCAAATGTTGAAATATAAAATTACAAAGAAAAGGGAAAAATTTTGGATATTTAATCTGAAAACTCGCTGAAATAAATTAAATTGTTTAATTTACAAAATTTTAAAAATATATAAAATAATTGCGCATTTTTTATAAAAAGAATAAAATAATGATTATATGTAAAACAATAACGAATGAATTCCCTTTTCCAAAAAGAAATAATGCCGTTACTAATAACTTTAATTTCATCTATCTTATTTATATATTTTTTAAATATTATACATTATTTTTCTATTATATTACATAAAATATATTACAATATTTATGTTATATGATTATGAATATCTTGGCATTTATTACTCGATTAGAAACAAAATTCCTCTTTTAATTAAATAATTATTAAAGTTGTAAAATATAAATTTTGGGATTTTTTTATACTAAATGATACTTTTTTTATATATATTATAAGAATATAAAAATTAATCCTTATTTATATTTATAAAAATAGAAAACTATCTTTAAATTTTTTTTATTTTATTTTGCTGGTTTATGGAATGCAACAAAAAATAAGGAAAGAAAACTATTCGAAATAATACTTATTTGGTCTATATATCAACGAGTTCATTTATAAAATGAAGAAGACTTGTGAGTTGTAGGAAATCATTTTTTATCATTTTAATTTCTTTATTGTCGGTTTAACGAGAATAAATAAATATTAGTTAAATTAGTGTGTTTAGTCAAAGGGCCAAATCTTTCCGACATCAATGTGAAATCTTGAGGCTTAATATAATATTTTTTTGGCTAAAATCTTGATTTATTCATTTTATAAAAAATTGGCCAAATCGAATTTTTCGACAACACTATTATCAAGTGATGCTTAGTAAAATTTACACAAAGAGCTCGCAGCTATTTAACGTAGGAGGTTGAATTATTATTATATATAAAATCAATCACATATTTTGTATGCGAGCTGTTACTTTGAGGGTTTTAGATATAGATTGAAAAAATCTAGCTGCAACGCAGCAAACCATGTTCGATTCCTAGCGAGATCAGTTATTTTTCTGAAACCAATTTTTCGAACCAAGTTAGGGTTAAAGGGTTGCCTGATGTTAATATATTAAAAATGGGTAATAACAGGTGATCGTTTTTTAGTAAATTTCTATATGATATCTACTTGCTATATCTAATCACAGCCTGAATATTATATTTTGCTTTTATACTTTACCATTTTCCGTATATTTTAATTTACTAAGTTAATTTTTGTTTTCCGCATTCATTTTAAACTTATATAAGTATAATAGCACATAATAATTTCATATAACATATAAAAATTAAGATTTCACTGTATTATTGGGTCACAAGTAATGGACAGAAGAATATTATTCTCTACTATTCATTTAACACAATGCATACTCATAATAAGTTTCAAAATAGGTTAAAGTTGACACATCCTTAAGAGAGCCGAAATATATACGTTGCCTTTTTGGAATTGGCTCAAATAAAAGGATTTATCAACACTACTCAGCAAGAACAAAATTAAACAGACCCAAAACTATGAGGGATGGGGGTGGTCTATTTTTCATTCCCTAAATGATATTATTTGCAAATTAAATATTTTTATTTTATTAAAATACTATTAAAAATATTTTTTAATTAAAAGAATGCGCAAATATTATATAAACAAGTCCAATTTATTTATTTAAATGACTGAAACATAAACTTAAAATCTTCAAAAATGGAAACAAAATTTAGACCCTCTCTTAAAATTTTAAGGAACCAAAACCAATTTGAGAATTTCCAATACTTCGGAACTTTTAATCAAAATGCAACTAATTAATATATATTGTTCAAAATGGTTTTTGCTTTATTTTAGAAGGTTTATTTATTGTTTAAAAAATTTTTACTGCTTATTAACAAGAGTTTAGAACCGGAAAAAAAACCTGAAACCATCGGAATTACGTCAAATATAAGAACTATGAACCCCTTTGGGAAAAAAATTTCAGAACACGAAACTGGAAAGCATTTTAGGTTTCAAAGTCTGATTTTAATTTACTATAGGAAATGAATATTCTTCATTTCTATTTTAAAATTGATACGATGTTAAAATAGTATTTGTCTTTAAGAGCTCGTATAGAAGTAATATTGCCCTTGTATAAGCTAGATATAAATTTATAATACCCCCCCCCCCCCCAATCCCAATTTATTTTCCATTTAAAGGAAAGTTTATACGGCCCGGCCCTATCATTAATTCTTTAACGAATATGAATATAATATATAACGCTGTTATTTGTTTTTTATTGATTTATATATTGCCATTATTTTGTAAAAATTTAAGAATTTTCAGTTGAGTTTTTATTATGATCTAAACTATTTTTGATAAATTTTTATATATAATAAAAATTGATGGCCTATTTTTTTTTTTATTAAAAAAATTAAAATATTTTTTAAGAATATAATTATGAATATTTTAAATATAAAAAAAAATATGTTGTTTAATCATATAATGGATATTGAAATAAGGAGGGACTTATAAAAATGAATAATGAAAAATGTGAATAATATTTTTATAAAGTTGAGAAATTATTTAAATTCAAAAAATTCTTAATAAAATCCAATATTGGTATAGATTTTATTGGATCTTTTACACATTTTTATTGCAAAAAAAATTGTATCAAAAGCCAATAAAATCTGTAACGTAAAAACTTCACCTTTTATATAAATCAAATATATTTGATTGTATTGTATAAAATACTCTATCAAAAAAAAAACCTAATATATTTTACAAACTATTAGGTTACTTACTTATAACAAGCCAATCTCACTTCAAGAATGATGAAATTTGAAGAATTGATATTTATCCAATGTAAAATTACCCCGATATCTCAACTAGAGATCTGCAAAATAGACTTTTTTCGGCCTGAACCCTCCCGAAGCCTAGTGGTAAAAACTACATAACCCTAGATTCGGCCCGTGGCTAAAATGTTTACAAATGGAATTAAAACATATAATATCTCAAATCAAAAATAATTAATTTATTCCCTATTTTAATTTTGAACATTAAATTTAAATATTCAGTGGTTACTTTAATTTAATTTATGGGTTTTTTTAAAAAAAAAAATCTATTTTATTCTATTATGAAATATTACATGAAACTGAATACAAAATATTTTCCACCTTATGTTTGTTTTTTATAACTATTATTTTTTGAAATTCATTTTGTAATTGCGATATTCAGTTAGGCAAAAAAGAACGAAGAATAAGACAAAATATTCACGGGCTTGGCCTATATTTTATTGATGATGTGACAGACCATGATTGGACTTAATATCAACACTAAAATAACATTTATTCTTATATATTTTATTAATTGGAATTTGATTCATCTCAGCATTTATTAAAATAAATTATCCTTTTGATATATTTAAGAGATCAATACATCCTATACTCGGTATTCATTCTGTACGGGAAGCTAAACCAAATATACATTATCATTTAAATTCGTCTATTTTTTTTTCTTTAATGATTACAATTAACATATCAGTGAATACGGAGGATGGGGTGTTACTCCATTATCTTTTAAAGCCAGTAACAAAATATTTGGTTACTGACACCTAGAGAAGACCGGGGTAAAACGATTGACGGTGAGGTTACAATGTTAACGCGAATAACTTTTTAGACCTTGAGCATAAATGCTTTAAATTTGGTATAAAGATAGATTTTTAATTTTTTACCAATGTTCTAATGTTCCTTTTTAAATATATTTTGCTAAAAGTCGGTTTTTTACACATAAATTATAAAAATTTTCCTTCTAGTATCTTTTGCTTTTAAAAAATTTATCAGAATGATTCAAAATTTTGTACACATGCTCCTTAAAATCATCTTAGTTACAAAATAAAGGTTATTCGAAGTTTATATCTTACTTAGAAGTCATGCAATAACTATTAGCAAATTCCTTGGTAAAGTAGCTATGTCTGATGAAAGCAGTAAATAAAATATTTAAAATATTGATGGCTACAACATATAAAAAAAAATAGTTTGTGTTATATGGAAGAAAAAAATTAAAAAAACAGTCACAAGGATAAGAATAATTGGAATGTACTATGTTCCTAAAATGGGCAAAATCAAAATGGAAATTTTTGATAATTTCTTTAAATTCCCTTATTGCATTGATTAGTTTATAATTAAAATTAATAAATAGAAGCCAGAATTGCTAATATTTTGTTAAATAAAACAATAAAATTGCGTTTAATTTTATTTCTTACCTTGGTGCTTAGTCATAAGGGCGGACTGGCGATGCTTCAACCTTGTGAACAGTTTTCTTCTTGTGACCTCATTTATATGGGGCCTTCGCCCCCAAGCTCCTTTAGCTTCTACTCGGGGTGACTCCCTTATAACATAATACAATAATATTTTAACTTTTAAGACATCAGAAAATTATTTAAGAAAGCTTGCTTACTAGTTACTAGAATAAAAGGAACAAAAATGTGACATACATTTGACTAAATCGATATTTCATTTAATTTTTTTAAAATCATATTCTCGTAAATGTAAGTTGCAACTTTATAGTAAAAAGTTGTTTAATTATTTTTTTTTAAATAATGATATGCCTTTTTTAAATAAAAATATATCAGCCACCCCCCCCCCCCCCCACAGGCTGTGTTTTAGAAATGTTTATTAGACTGTGAATTTTTCTTTTCGTATAAATATAGACTGTCATAATAAAAAAAGATTATCTTAGTTTTTTTTCGGGCAACAATAATATCTTCAAAATTAAAAAAAATATAGGAAGTAGAGGTGAGGGCTGCCCTAATTTTTATTCATGGCCCATCCACTCGTGGACATAAACAAATTCACACCCTTTCACGCTTACTACTAAAAAAAATTTGACCCGATCCGTCTGCTCAGGACAGACAATATTTTGATCACGCCCAAATTTCACAATTTTAAAATTTTTGATTGCTATACTTTTACACTTTTTTGAATTTATTCTATCATAGTTTTTATTTCTTTTATTCCATATTAACAACGCTAAATAATTACCATTTATAAATAAAAAATTTTAATTATAATTTTTTATTCTAATTGTGTTCGCCTTTACTCTAATAAGAAAATGGCTATAAACATATCCTTTCACTTGAAGTCGAACTTGGGGGCTGACAAAATTTCACTAGCTAATTTTCTCAAAAAGGAAATGAATTTTCCTGCTTTTAAAACTTCAAAATATTGATATTATGTTTTGAGAGATAAATCTTTTACGTTCATCCTTATAACTATAATCGCTATATGTTGATCAGAATCATCAAGAAATTCTCTAAATTTTACATTTAGAGTATACGGTTATTTATGTGTGCAGGATGAATTAAAAAAGTTATAAATGAAAGTTGGCATTGACTTATGCATATCATCTAATTATATTTCATTTCGCAATTTTAATGTAGTTTTATTTTCGTGGTCTATTAAAAACTTAAGACTTTAGAAATTTGGTTCTAAAATTAAGCCTACCCTATGTAGTGGCATTTAAAAGAAATTCAGTACTGTTTTTAAGGTTATTATTGTATCACCTTCAGAAGATTGACAAGTTTTTACTAATTTTTGTTTCCATAGATAAACTTCATTTATTGTGGGACGAGAATCTGAGCTCAGATTATCCGAGCATTCTTTGAATATTGATAAAAATTTATTAAGGCGATATGAAAATATAACATATTTAAATTAAATTTATTATTACCAAATTTCCATTGCTGAACGAGAGTTGAGAGATTTATTATTTTTTATTCAATTGAACTTTTATAAGACTGGGAAAAAAATGTTATTTATAAAATGCGAAAGTTTTTTTGTTTTAAAAAAGAACTAAATTAAATAAGAAAATATATATTATATTATAAAATTGCAAATTCATATTCATAAAAAAGTTTAAAAATTAAAATTTCCGTGATTCACGGGAAATAGGTTCACACCCAATCACGCCCGGTAAAAATTTTGGGAAGGCCCGTCACGCCCAGTCATGCCCAATAATTTAAATTTATTCACACTCACGCCATGGCCCACGGTGGTCCATCGTGTCACGCGTAATTTCACGGATGCCCACCTCTAATAGGAAGAAATTAATTTTTTTTAAAGAATCTTTAAGAAATTATACACATGAAGAGAAGAAGGGTATTTCGCTGAAAAATTGTCTGATATTTACAGTGCAGGTATTCTATACATGTTGAAATACGATTCCGGTAAAATCATATCTTCCCAAATTAAAAAACAGGCGCTATAAATGATTTAAGTTTTAAAGATATACTAAAAACACCAATCTCCTAAATCCTTAGAATATATATTGAGATAAGTTAATAGGACTTCATGATCCATGGAAATGAAACTAAAGGTGTAGCTAAGATTCATCCAAGGGGAAGGGGTTATTGCAAACATTTTTAATGGAATTTATTCCTAAACCCCGACTTCTCTGGATTTCGGCCGAGTCCCACCTTGTTAAAATTCTGATCAGGTATTCATCATTCCCAGATTATTTTCATTTTTTAAAAAAAAATATATTTATATCATCTCCATTAAAGTTGGCTGGGGAATTGAAAGCACTAACATTATGACTAAAGGTCGATTGATTTTACTTATAAATTTTATCAATGCTAAGTGCTTAATTGTATATAATTTTAACCCATTTGGTAGACTATAATTTATAGAAAGTTAATAGCAAAAGAAAAATTTCCCAAAATTGACATCATGCCAAAATAAAGTAGAAGAACAAAATATCTAATTTGTGCTAATATTTAGTGGCCCCTACAAAGAGAGGAGGGGGGGGGGGAGTTTAAAGCAACTGCTTCCTACTTTTTTAAAAGGAAATTTAAATTTTATTTCATTTTTTGTTTTATCACACCCATCCATAACCAAAATTTTCTTGTCTGATAAAATTATTTTTACAATTTCAAAATATGCCTAAAAATATTAATCAAAAAGAAATACAAGAGACCTGCAGGCTGGGCCTTATTTTAAATTATTAAAATATACCCGGGCCGGGCCGTAAAAAAAATGTATACAACATGAATTATTATATTCATCAATTAGATATGGTTAAAATGATCATATATAGTTATGATTAATATAATGTTGGGTGAAATTTAACATTAGCTAATATAGTATTACACAATATAATTATAGTTTTCCTGCCATGGAATAAATACGCAAAGGATAATATGTAATAAATACATTATTATAAATATGTCGTATGGGGTTTCGGAATTCGTGGGGATTCGGAATCTCTCAATTTTAAATAATTTACTAAGGGCGATTTTTTGATTTTAAAAATCTGATTTTGTATTCCAGCATGTGTAGAGTATTTACCCTATATATTTCAGCCAATTTCAGCGATAGACATTTTAGTATTTTTTAATTTATATGAAAAATTCATATAAAAATTAATATAAATTAGAAGTAGTTCTAAAGTTCATGGCAAAATTGTGTGAAATTTACAGTATGGGTACTCTACTCATGCTAGAATACATTTTCGGTTAAATAATTTTTTTAAATCGCACTCGGTAAAGGATTTAAAATCAAGAGATTCCGAATCCCCATTCCGAATCCCAATACGACTTATATGTTATATTTTTTATTTAAAATATCAGTTTTATTTTTTTTATAAATACAATTAATATAGTATATTCTCAAAATATTATTTACACAAATTTTTTTTATAGTATCAATTTGTAATATAATAAATATCTGTTTAGAAAAAAAAAATGTAATATTATGCTTGCTTATTAAATGATAATACTCGCCGAAAAATATGATAAAATACCGAATAGGTGAATTTTTTATATATCGAATATAATTTTAAAAAAATTCCGAGCCGGGCCTAAAAAAAATTTTTTTTAAAAATCCGGGCCGGGCCCAAAAATTTTTTTTTAAATATCCGGGCCGGGCCTAAAATTCCTTAAAAAAATTTTTGAAAAAAAATCCGGGCCGTGCAAATGGTACCTCTGCATATCTCTGAGAAATACAAATGCTTAATTAAATTGCACACGGCATAATATAAGAAATGATAAATGGACAATAATAGAAAAAACATGGTGTGCAAAATTTTAACAATTTAGTAGTTTTTGACATTATTAAACTAATTGCAGATTTGGTACCTGTCCTCAAATTGTATGTTCAAAGAATGAAAATAAAAGAAGGGAGATTCTATCTATTGTCCAATAATAGTATAAATATTCTCATTGAAACCATAAAAATATGGTTATAATAAAAATTTTAAAATGAGATTGAATTTAACTGGTGTTTTTCAATTATAGTTGATTATCATTTATCGAAATCAGAAGCAATAGTTTTGTTAGTAAGATATATGGTATCACGACTGGTATTGTTATTAAAAACTATATAATATGAAAGCTTAGTTCCATGAATCTATCCCTTCTTAGTTGGGTAAAGCTATGGAATCTTTTTATTATCATATTTAAAATAAAGTTAATATTGACTTAAAAAACATATATTTGAATTTGACCATATTTGACCGGTCAAATGCACAACCCTGTAACTGAGTAATAAATAAAATAAAAATTATGACGGCACGCTTTAATCTTGAAATGAGACATATTTTGGAAGCACTAATTCAGAAACTTATGCCAAATCATTAAGGATTTAATTACTTTATATATCATGGCTTATATGTTAGGTAGATGAGTTTAAGGGGAAGCAATTTATTGAAAGAAAAAGTTGCCAAAATTGGCATTTTGCAAGAACGGAGAATATTTGAATTTCTAAATATCTGGTTTACGTTATTATTTAGAGCCTTACTTACTAATTATTCTATTAATTTCGCCAACCTCAAAAAATCAACCGAATTATGAGCCAAATAAAAACTATAATATCACATCTTAAGCGTGAAGTCAGCCAAATTCAGGAAGCATTATCTCTGAAATTTATATCAATACTTATTACTTATTTATTGATAGTTGAAGTTAAACGTATTATTAGCAAAATAAGAAAAAATTGCCAAGGTTGACATCATGCCAGAACAAAAATTACGCACTGCTGGACATGCCAATTTACAATGCTTGATCAGTATTTACTAATGCATTAATCAGTTTTGCCAATAACTAAACAGAAACCCAGTTACATCTTAACATCGGATTTTGAATCGCGATTCAAAAATCTATTACATCTAAATACTAAGAATGGGTCTTATTACATTTAGAAATATGATCTTTTTTTATAGCAAATTTGGTTGTTATATAGAAAATGGCTATATTATATGTTGACTAAGCATCGCTTAGCATTAACCAAAATATCATAGACCTGAAACTCAAAAGAGATTATAAAAGCCGGTTTAATGTGATAAATGATTTAATTTTTATATTCTGATCAGTATAATTTTAAAAACCATGGACTTCATCCATTTCTGTTTCAGACATTTTTAATCGTTTACATCAGTATTTAAAATTGATTGAATTTAATACTAAGTTCGAAGGTATAAATTTGTAAAAGTTCAAGTCCTTGCATACATTTTAATATGTTTATAAAAACATTTTACTTTCTTTTACTTTTATTGAATATTCTCTAATAAAAATTAATTTTCTCTCTTTCGTGGCTTATGAATTTTGGGTATCTTTTTTCCAAAACCATATTCAATCTAATTAGTCCATTAAAAAAGATAAAACTGCTAGGAGTAAAAGGAAAGGATACTAACTAAATAAATTTATGATAGCCTTAGGGAATTCATTTTAGTCATATAATTAATCTTATAACTATACGAATTAAATTGCCTTTATCTGCTATACTAATAATATCTAATGTATTATTTTTTTCTTCCTTAGTTAAGTTTGATGGTGAAAGCATAGCTTTTATAAATTTACATTTATGAAAATTCTTTCTCCTGGAATATATAAAGCTGTTAGAGTAAATTTCAATCTTTTTATTGATAAAGATTCAAGTTCTTTATCTGTTGTTTTATTAAAGAGATTAAGAATTGTATTAATGTTGATATTGGTATAATTTATCATTTTTAATGTTTAGTTTAAAAATCATCCACTAAAAATAAAATAACGCTAAAATTTTTTATTAATAATATTAAATTTATAACTCGAAATTATATTATTCTTCTTTCAAAATTAAATAATTATAAAAAATAAAATTTCAAACATAATTATGAAATTATAAATTATTTTTCTTATTTTTATAGTTAATATCTATTTTCAGATATTTAATTTAAAAATCGGCGCAAAAATGATAGCGCGATGCAACTCTTCCCGTGAGCAAGGTTTCCAAATAAAAATTTTCAAAATGTGTTAAATAATTTTAATGGGTGGGGGGGGGGGTTCTCTTTTTGCATGCCTGCGTGCCCGCTTTTGCCCCTTCAGGTTCCCTACCTTTTGCTTATTTACTATCATTCTCATTTATTAAAAAAAAACAATAAAATCTTATCATTTAATAATAGATAATTAATCTCTTCTGGCGAAATCGTAAGTTAGATAATGTTCTTAGCTAAAATCTTGTTTTAGCCATTTTTAAAAAAATCAACTTAAATCGAGATTTTATACAACACTGTTTTTATTAGAGTGTGAAAATTATTTTGATACATTATAAATTTTTTGTTATATGATATGGAAGATTCATTGATTGATATATTTTTGAGATATATATTTCCGATAACTGCAATTTTTTGAAGAAAGAATACAGTCATTCGTAATATCAAAAATTTATCTTTATTAAGAAATTGATAAAATCTTTGTCAATTTATAACACAAACTATTGACTCTGCTTTTAATGCCAGCAGTAGGAGTCTATTTCGAGTCTCTCTCCATGCATTTTCAGATTAAATATACGCCTGATGATGATTTGGAATGAGATAGATAAATAAGATATTTTATTCTGGGAATGGACAATTATCGTTTTTATTTAAAAAAAATTCATTTTTGAGTTACTAAATCTATAATTTTTAATATTTCGGAATCAAAGATATTCGATAATTCTACCATGGCTTGAAACAAATTATCTTGATCTACATTTGTAATTTTAATCTGACCAAGGAAATTTCTATTCCTCAGACAGAATATACAAATCAATATTTTCAAATTTAACTATCGTTATTTTTTAGGAACTTAATTATGTTTTTCTTAAAATTAAATAATTTTTTTTTACATTTTTATAGATATTATATATAATAGTTTTAATATATGATTTTAATGATAAAAGTTATATTTGGATTCTAAATACTTTACGATTTTATAAATTTGTTAGCTCAATATAAAAGCGTTTTATTATTTTTGTTATCTCTAGATTTGGAAATAACAGCTCCAGCTATCGTTATCCATGAAATATTTCGTCTATCTATTTAAGTGACTAATGATGAATATAATTTGTTAATAATTTTATCAATGCTAATTAATACAGCATCTTCCGATTGAAGTTAAATATGGTCAACTCGATTTTCAAAGTGGGAAACTATGCCCAAATAAGTTTCCACTAAATTATATACTCTCTCCATTATTCTTTATTATATTTACAAAAACATTGTGTTTTCCTTTCTCTTGAATTATTGACATCCATTGCATTTTTGCTCTTGCCATCATTCTCTATATCTAATGGTACATCTCTTTAAGGTGAAATAACTAAATATATTTTTCTAATATTTTTTTTAAGCAATTCAATAATTAAAATGCACTTCCCTCGGAAAATACTAAATAAGATTAATCTTTATTTAAAAATTGATATCTCTTTTTTTTAACCTTTATATCTGAATATTCTTCATCATAAAAATTTCTTGTTATCCAATCAAATAATAAAATTTACATCAAAAACGTTTTTATACTGCAAAGTTTTCCTCTTGAATAATTTTATAATTATATATCTTCAGGATAATTGGAAATTTTAAAATATTTTTATAAAAAGCTAAAGATATGTACTTTAATATATAAGTCTTACTAAATAGCTTTTGCATTTTGACCTTTTTAACGATAACCAGGAAAACTTACACCCCCCCCCCTCCCCTCCCCGGAGTAGTTGTATTGAGCAATCATTCTGATTGTCAGTAAAATTTAAGCCTTTGTATAAATTTATACGGTTTATTAAGATGACAATTTTCTGAATCATTAATTTTAACTATATAATAATTTTATATTGCTTTTTTATGTATAAGTTTACATTTGGTATCATTATTATATTAAATTCACGTCTATTATTTAAAAATGAATGTAAAATGATTTCATTATATAAAAAAATTCATATTAAAGGAGTAATCATAAATTTATACGAGATTATAAACTGTTAGTCAGTTCATATATAAGAATATATTGATTATTTTTGCAGGATATAAGAAGCTCCTGTGGCAAGAATGTGTAGACGGATGCGTGAATTTTTCAAAAGCTGTTAGTATCTGTAGTTGAAATGATATAAAACTATTATCAGAAATAAAATTAGAATGAAATCACGACATTACATTTTCATAATAGATTTTGCTTATCAAAATACTAAACTATAGTTATATTTTCTTGACTACTGGGTAAACTTAAAAAAATATAAATCAAAATATATGTTGACGATCATCTTTTTTAGCTAAATCACCTTTAAAGGCGATTAGCTATTCGCAAGCTTGGTTTAAGAGGGACGCTCTAATGTTTATATTCTTTCGATTATTGTTGCATATCATCATTACTGTCCTTAACCAAACCCCCCTCCCCCTCCTACCACCAATTTCAAATTTAGGATTGGAACTGGAAATAACTATCATTTCTATATAACGATATATAGATATAATATATAATATATAAGAAACTAAAATATTCGCTACGTTTCATCAATTAAACTTTGTTGCTTAATATTTGATATAGGGTTATAGCAACACTATAAAATACTAAATTCGAAGGGCCAATTTTATCACCTAATGGACAACAAATAAATTTCTTATAATATGAATGTGACTTTAAACCTTAAAAATAAAGAGTATATAAGACATTTTTTCTGCTAAAAAATTTAATATTATTATAGACTAAGTAAAAGCAACAAAATACACAGTTTTCTTTTAAAAACAATCAGTGCATACTTTTATTTATGCTAACTTTTGTCTTTTAAAGCTTGCCATAACTCAGGTGTTCCTTAACCAATTATGACGAATATATTAACCATTTCTATAATGTTAAAGTTTACAATTTGTAAAATATTGTATATTATCCATTGTTGATTATGTTATTAAACTTAAAAGGTTTTTTAAGCAAATTGTACAATATTATTTATATAACATTTTCTAAAATATTTTTATGACAGTTTAGCGTATTATAATACAAGTAATTTAATAATGGCGTTTTTTTTAGATAATGATCATTTTTAAACTCAAAAACAATACAACACATATATATAAATCATTCTTCTTTTTTTTTAAATAAAATAATCATAATTATACTAAGCATTTTATTAGAGAGAAAATTTTTTTATTGCCAAAATTTGTTCTTTTCAAAAAATAAATTTTTTTAATTTTATAATTCCCAAAATCGATAATATTCATAATTTTGAAAAGGTAAAAAAAAACTATTCTTTGTTAAATTCCTTAGTTAAATTTTTGTAAAATAAAATTTTAAATATTGTTTTTTTATTTCATAGATATATTTTTTTTACTAATTTTATAGATTAACTTTCTATTAAAATAATAATTTTTAGAGACACAAAATTATAAATAACATAAAAATTATTGTTAAATTTTATTAAGGAAATATGAACACTTGAAAATTATTTAAAAGAAAAATGGGAGAATATAATTAAATTTAAGAACTTTTTTTTAAATAGTATGAATATTCAGCACATAGGTAAACACTCACCCTCGGATAAAGGAGTAGTGATAGATCTAAACGTTGGTGGCATTCTATACAATACGTTAAAGAGTACTCTGTTGGGAAAGAATCTCAAATTTTACCATAGAAATATAGAAGAAGGTACTAATAAGAATGCTTTGGATCACATGGCGCAACAATTAATGGCTCCGACCCCAATGCCAATCACTCTTCCAACCCTATTCGACGATATATTTCACGATATCGAGTTGAATGAAACCAAAAATCCTAGTAATCACACCATACACAATATAACACACGTTAAAAATACACCATTGACTTTTATGTTAATATCGTCCAAAGAAAATGAAAAGGTTATATTCTTGGATAGGGACGGACAACTATTCCGCTACATACTAGATTACATGCGAACTGGGGAACTCGCATTACCTTTAAATTTCGCTGATTTTTCGGCTCTCTCAAATGAAGCCAAATTTTATCGCTTACCTCATATGGAGATGTTAATAGCCAATATTATGGATGAAAAGACACATCTGTTACAAAAATTATCTTTAGCAGCTCCGAGTCGAGACGAGTTTAGGATGACCGATGCTAAAGGAGGAATCGACGTGGTAATATTGTCTTATAACTAATAAATATATTATAATAACAAACTGATATAGTTAAATTATCGAGAAAATGGTTATGTAACTTTGGGTTATAGAGGCACTTTTGCTTTTGGTAGAGATGGTCAAGCTGATGTCAAGTTTAGGAAGATGACAAGAATTTTAGTCTGCGGGAGAGTTAGCCTATGTCGTGAGGTATATTTTTTTATTGTTATAATTTTATTTGTATAACATAATCTTATAACAAATCTCAATATAAGCTTCCTTTTTTTTAAAATATGTTTTTTTTTTGAATATTGAAGATTACAAAAAAAGATCAATAGAAAGAGATTAATAATCATTTTTTAATCATCATTATAATTAACGCTTTTTGAATTAATCCCCTTTATATTTAACCAATCCATATTATTTATAGATCTATCTTGAACCCCTCTTTCTATCATTATTCTTTGTGTATAAACTTAACAGAAATATTAATTATTCGTTATCTCTATGAATTAGTTGTCGTTTTTTTTTTCAAGGTGAAAAGGATTAAACCATAACTTGTGTCAATTGTTATATGCATCTTTACTTAACGTAAATATGTTAGTTAGAAAATATTTGTAATTTTTAAATATTTTATTGTTACTTCTTCTTTAAGAGTTTAATTGCATTATGTAAAAACTATTTTGCATACAAATTAATCTATAAAAATTTTACATTTTATTACCACATTCACACCATAGAACTTTATACACATCAAAAAATTATTTAGTACGTGAAAAAAATTAATTATTCTATCATTTGCCTTTGCTTAAATGTGTAATAGCTCGTATAATTATATATCGTAAATAGATTAGTCATAGGGCTGTGGCCATGGAGGGGATGGGGGCCCTGGTTATCCCAAAAGTGTTTGGCCCTCAAGTCTGTCCTTCAAGTTTTTTTTGGCACCCTAAAATGGTCAAAAAATATTTCTCTCCCTCAAATTCTTCAATATTAATTATGACATTTTCATTCTCCCATTTACCGTTAAATAGAATAAAAACAAACGATATCACATTTTTTTATCCCTCTAGCTCTCTTTCGGTGGGTTTTAATTACAATATTTGATGCAGATTAGAATTTAATTTATTCTCGAGGACTTAAGCATAAACTTTGACCTTCTAGAATTTAAGAAGAAAACATTTTAGAATTAAAATAAAAAAATGCTTTGAAATACTTAAGAAAATATAGTAAAGAAATATTCTGATTAGGGGAGATCGGGGATAAGTGACAATTCTTTTGTTCGTGGTAGATAAAAGATTTTAAGAAAATACTATTAATCAAATAAATTTAATATGAGTGGGTATTACAAACGTTACTCTGTAAAATAAAGTTAAAATCAAAACTGTGTCTATTATAGTTTTCTAGCTAGATTATTCTAAGTAAAAGTCATTTTTTGACTAGCCAACACCTGCATATGTTGAATAGTCACATAAACAATTTTTCATTTATATGAATTATAAAGATATAAAACAACCAAACCTGAACTCTTAGTTTTATCTGAACTCGAACTTAAAATATTAAAAATTTATATGTTTAATACAAGTATTTTAAATATTTTTTTTTTCCTTTTTAGCTTTCACCTTTTTCTGGTGGTAAGCTCCTTCAATATCTCTCACCACTTTATTACCATGCTATCTCTTTTGTTTAATTTATATTTCTAATATCCCACCGGAGTATTTTTATCAATTCCATTTGGGTTTCCAACCGGAGTATCGCTATCGAGGGCATTGAATCTTGATCTCACACCGAAGTAACAATATCGACAGATATCTCACCGGAGATCAATTCCATTGTAAGCTTGATCTCCCACCGGCGTATCAATCTCAATGGATCTCCCACCTGAGTATCGTTATCAAGTCCCTTGTAGATTGGTAGACATTGTGCTCGAACGGCCCCCGAAGTCACCATTATCCTAGAGCTGGCCAAGAGATCGCTATCATCCTTAAATGGCCCCAGTTAGGCTGGTCATCTTTTATTTGGTTTATTGGACAAGTATCCTAGCACCCGGCTGTCCAAGCCTGTCGGTGACCGGGGTGGCATTTCTCAACTCAGAAATTTATCTTATCATATGTCTTTACACATCAGTAATCGAAGAAAACCCTGAAATTTTTTAGTTCCTTACCAGGATTGAACCTGGGACCTTCGGTTTCCAAGCATACATTATACACCACTAGGCCACCCCGGCGATTTTAAATATTATAATTAAAAAGGAATAATAGTCATTTCTAATCTTAAATTAATAAAATTTTACATTATGATTATTATGACTACTTAACCCATGGATACTTATTATTTTTTAATTTTTTTATCATTAAGTGGTCCTTTATATAGTGATAAATAGCATTTAAATTCCATTTTTTTGTAAATATAACTAGAGTATAAGGATTCTATCTATATAAAATATTAAGAAATTTGAATGTATAAATTCTCCGTTAGACAAAAAAATCTAGAACATTTTGGTTTAATGGGGTATTACAACTCAACTGCCTTTTCATTAAATTAATCAATCGATATATTGAACGATTCTCAGATAAAATAATCCAATAGATATTTAGTTATAGTGGGTGGCCAGTCACTCCGTTGGCCACTTATTCCCAGTAATAATAACATTAACAAACAATTTATAAATAAACAATCGGTATCCGATCAGTTTTTAAAAAGTATTTTTTTTATTGAATGGGTTAAAAAATTGAGAATCGGACAATTTTGCTCCAATAAAGCCTCACCTATTTAATAAGCGAGGTAATAAAAGGATTCAATTTAATCATATATTTCGAATTCTCAATTTACTTAATCTAAATTCTATTTTAAAATATTTTATTTATACATTATAAATATTTAGAAATACGATAACTAATTATAAATCAACATTGCCATAATATATTATACGCTTGGCAGTCCACATCTATTTGAAAGATTATAATGTTGATATAAGAAATTAATATTATATGAAAGAAAATATTAAGAAATACACTATATTCCATATCCCTCATCCTTGGTTGTTGTTGATATTGACATATGGATTTAAACCGTCTTAATAGAAATGATATTTAAAAAGGTATCTTGATATCTGAAATAATAAACTATTCACTATCTTCATTCTTTACTGATATTGGCACAAGAGATTAAACCAACTAATAAATATCTTTATATAATATGAGGAAAATTACACTATTTACTAGCCACATTCTTTCGCACTTAAATAAAATATTTGTTAGCCAAGGGGAGTAAGGTAAATCTCTTTTTGTATTGATAACACCGTGTTTTTCTCCCCAATTAACTTAAATTATCCATTAACCTTTTTTAGTTTGGGCCCTCATTTCTTCTTTTACCATCTATATTATATAATCAATGGCTAATTTAACTCTATAAATCACCGATCTTATTTAAACATGACCAAACAATCAGTTTTGGAGCCATCCATGTTTACTCTTCTTATATTCTCGTTCTAATAAATGTTGTTTTTCTACTAATATGACACCCTTCAGCATTCTCATATCAAATTTTAAAAGATATTCTTACTATTTTCTTATAGCTCAGGTCTCTAAACTTTATATTATCGTGAGCAGTTGTATCGTTTGTCTATATAGTATATACCTTTCAATTTGAGTAGTATATATATCCTCATGAATATACATACTTAGAAGCGAATATATAAACTTAGAAAATATACAAACTAGAGAGATTCATTACTAGCAGAATCTATATGATAAAATTTAAACATATTTTTAGAAACATCCTTAGCCATCCTAAGACAATAAAATCCAACTTCTTGATCCTAAGTACTATCAGCATATTTTGTGATTCTCTGTTTTATGATAAAAATCTGGAACCCAAATTGAACCATATTTCTTCTTCCTCAAAGATTAAAGGGAAATTAGATGTTGCAAATATATTCTCAGATGTTTTAGAATATTTGCTCACACATTTTTTGAATTCTAAAAGATGATCAAAGGGGAGAATATATATAATAAAAAAGATCAATAAAAAAAACTCCAAATACATGAGAAGGTAAAAATTAATACCAGGCTAAAAAATTATTAAATACTCACTCAAAAATGTGTGGAGAAAATTTTAGCGACATATGAAAATTAAGTTAAAAAATTGTAAAATACCAAAAACAATGGATGGAAAAATTTATAGGTGTATATATTAGTGATCTGCATCGGACCTATCAAGCCCGGCCCGGCCCAAAATTTTTTTAAAAAATGTTTTGCTGGCCCGGCCCGAACCCGAAATTTTTTTAAAAAGTTTTGCCTGCCCAGCCCGAACCCGAAATTTTTTTTAAAAATTTACCAGCCAGGCCCGGCCCGAATTTATTTAAATATAGAAATTAATTTTTATAATTACTCAAAATAAAAGACATATGTTATATGGCGTCTAGTTTCTATAAATAAAATCAAATATTTTTATTTTATATAAAAAATTCAATATAAAATTAATAAATTTAGATATATTTTAAAAAAAATTCCAAGGCCCGATCCGACCCGGCCCGAATTTTTTAAAAATATTAGGCCCACCCGGCCCGAACCCTACTTATTTTAAAAAATTAGGCCCGAACCCGGCCCCGTGCAGATCTCTAATATATATAACTGAAACCGGAAAAAAAATCAAATTAAATTTTTAAGAAATTAATAAAATGCTTTAAAATAGGGGGAAAAAATTAAAAAATTATGGAAATGAGGTAAAAGGTAATTTTTTTTACGTGATACGTGATATTAAGCACACTAGCCCTAAGATGTCATATATATATCAAAGATATATATATAACAGAGCAACGCTTGGTTCTCTTATAAGAGCACATCTAACTGGGATAAAAAGGGGAAATATTTAACTAAATAAGAGAAAACCATCCACGTTTTTTGGGCAGGCCGCAGTTACCTGTGCGCGCAAGAGGCAAAGCCCCTTACTTAAACTCCCATGGGAAAGTAAAAGGAGAGGTCAAAAGGCCCATGCCCGATTAAATAAAAGTTTATTTATGGAGGGGCTATTATGGCTATGTTAATTTTACTTTCAATTTGCATTGTGAGAAACCTAGAAATAATAACCTAGAAATAAGAAATGATTATAATATTCATCTATCGTAAATAAAAAGCATGGAAGGATAATATTGGCTATATTGATTTTATTTGAAATAATATTGAGAAATAAATAATAACTCAGCTTAAATA